TGAGCATCTCTTCATGTATTTGCTGGCCACCTGAATGACCTCCTTGGTGACATGTCTTCTGCCCATTTTTCAGTTGGACTATTAATTCCTTTGCTTGCTTCTTTGCTATTAGAAGGAAGTGATAACACGATTCATAAACAAAACGAGCTCAGCACAGAAGATTATATGGCACAAAGAAATCAACACCACAGAAAAGCACATAACAAAAATGACAGCAACAAATTCATACTTGTCAATAACTACATGTCTGGCAAATGACTTATCTCTAACATTTATAAAAAGCAAAGGAATTAATAGTCCAACTGAAAAATGGGCAGAAGACATGTCACCAAGGAGGTCATTCAGGTGGCCAGCAAATACATGAAGAGATGCTCAGGATCACTGGCCATCAGAGAGATGCAAACCAAAACAACAATGAGATACCATCTCACCCCAGCACTGATAGCAAGGTTCAACGAGACAGAAAATAACAAATGCTGGCAGAGATGTGGAGAGACTGGGACTCTCATACATTGCTGGTGGGAGTGTGAAGTAATACAACCACTGTGGAAAGCAGTATGGCAATTCCTTAGAAAGCTGGAATTGGAGATACCATCTGACCCAGCAATCCCATTACTAGGTATATATCCTAGAGAGGTGAGAACCAGGATAGGAACAGATATACACACACATGTTCATTGTAGCTCTATTTACAATAGCGAAAAGATGGAAACAACCTATGTGTCCATCAATGGAAGACTGGATGACCAAACTATGGTACATACACATAATGGAATGCTATGCAGTACTAAAGAATAATGCAGTCTGCAAAACACCACATAATATGGATGAACCTGGAGGACATTATGCTGAGTGAAGTAAGTCAATCACAGGACAAATACAGTATTAGTTTGTTGCTGTGGAGGGTCAAGGAAAGGTTTATATATGGAGGGAAACTTTCTTTGTTGGTTGTGGGGTGGTGGGGGAGAGAAAGGAACACAGCAAAAATAAATGCATTGACCCATGTCACTTAGTTTTGTGTATTTCACTGTATACAAATTATATGTCAATAAAATGCATTTAAATAAATATGTTGTTGTTGTTGTTGTTCTTAGGTGCTGTTGAGTCGGACCCAACTCATAGCGACCCCTCCTTCGGTTTCTGAGGCAGTATCACTACGGAAGTAGATTGCCCAACCTTGAACCACCAGCCTTCTGGTTAGCAGTTAAGTGCCTTAGGAACTACGCTACCAGATCTCCCTTAAATAAATATAGTGTCTGTTAAAAAAAGAAGAAGAGGAAGAATGCAACATCAGGATTGGAGGAAGACTAATTAGTAATCTGCAGTATGAAGATGACACAACATTGCTTGCTGAAAGTGAAGAGGACTTGAAGCACTTCCTGACGAAGAGCAAAGACTACAGCCTTCACTATGGATTACAACTCAACATAAAGAAAACTAAAATCTTTACAATTGGACCAATTAGCAACATGACGATAAATGGAGAAAAGGTTGAAGTTGTCAAGGATTTCATTTTACTTGGATGCACAATCAACACTCATGGAAGCAGCAATCAAGAAATTAGAGGATATATTGCACTGGGCAAATCTGCTGCAAAAGACCTCTTTAAAGTGCCAAAGAGGAAAGATGTAAAGATGTCACTCTGAAGACTTACGTGCCCTTGACTCAAACCATGGTATGTGCAATAGCCTCATATGCATGTGAAAGGTGGACAATGAAGGGGGAAGATAAAAGAATTGTGGTGTTGACAAAGAATACTCAAAATACCATAGACTGCCAGAAAACGAACAGATCTGTCTTGGAAAAAGTGGTGCTAGAATATTCTTTGGAAGCAAGAATGGCCAGACTTTGTTGCACCTTCTTTGGTCATGTTTTCAGAAGGAACCAGTTCCTAGAGAAGGATGGCATACTTGATAAAGTAATGTGTTAGCAAAAAAAGTGGAAGACCCACAATGAGATGAACTGACACAGTAGCTACAACAATGGGCTCCAGCACAGCAAAGATTGTGAGGATGGCGCAGAACAGGGCAGCATTTCATTCTGTTGTACACAGGGCGCTGGGGATCAGAGCCAACACAGCAGCACCTAACAACAACACTGTGATTCTATCATAACAGTTCTCTCAGGTAAAATCTCAGGAAATTTTACCTGAGACTTAAATTAAAAAAAAAAAAAAAATGCCAAGACCAAAATGGGGTTTTAGCTTAAGACTTAAAAAAACTGGGGGAAAAAAATGGGGGAAGAGAATAGACCTCCTTCTTTAAAAAGGAGCATAATAATAATAAAAAAAATTTAAATGTATAACAACTTAATCCTCTTTGGCTTTTATAATCTCCATAAAGGAAAATACTAATCATCAAACTCAAAAGAATAAGCAGTATAAATCAGGAACTTTGGCCTAATACAGGTGACAGTAGAAAGAAAACAAAACCAAAATTACAAAAGACTACTTACTGATTAGGAACCAGGAAATGTCTGTCTCAGCTATTACCAAATCCTGTGTAAGGAGCTTTAATAAAAATGACTTTTTGACATTTGTTCCTCATCTATAAAATAAGGGGTTTGAATTAAATGATCTATGAAGTCTCCTTTTGCCAACAGGGAAAGAAATCTTTCCCCACTCCTTTTCTTATATTTCCAAGAGTCACTTAATGTTTGTAAAACCTTCCTTAACCCTTTGATATGCATGTTGTTATTATTATTGTTAGGTGGATTTCAACTCATAGCAACACCATGTGACACAGGAGTAGAAATATCCTCTAAAGTTTGTCGTTGTTAGTTGCCTTCAGTCATTACAACTCAGAGAAATGTTTCCTAAGACTCTAGCAGCTATCTTTTTGAAATGTAAGCATTACAGAAGACACTGTCCTATCTCCCAGTCATCATAGCAGTCCACAGCCCACATACTTTTCTAGGAACTGTCACCACCTGCTTGTCATAGACATAAGAGAATTTTTATTATTCTTTTGAGTAAAGGCAATTGTTAACACAAATGACTATCCCAATTACCAGATGAACGTAGGAAGAACTATGAAAAAATGTATAGCAAATGCTGCTGTCTCCTTACGAGGAAATGTTATTGTTATTCTTGAGAACATATATTTATACCACTTGGCAGTATACATACAGTAAAATGTCTTTCAGTTTTTAGATCTTAGCAAATTGCCTATAATGCACATTGTAATCTGGTTTAATGCTTATTCATACCCTGGAGAGGTTTTCTGAGTTGAGAGGACATTTTTTATTTTTCCCCAACAATGGGTTTCTATCAGTCTTTGCACTGCTAGTGTGTCCTTTACTTTGCCACATGAGTAAACTTTTTGCCCTTTCCAAAGAGAACCCATAGCATCCTCGAATATACATTGAGATGTTCAAAGAAAAAATATTATATGAAGATATGACCATCTACTAACTAGGGAAGAACAGTGGGGAAAATGCATGTCTCAATTGCAAAATTTTTATTTATCATCCCTATAGTAGCTCTGGTAGCATAGTGCCTAAGGCACTTGACTGCTAATCAGAAGGCTGGTGGTTCACCCACCAGCCACTTCTTGGAAGGAAGGTTGGGCAATCCTACTTCTGTAGTGATACTGCCTCGAAAACCCAAGGAGGGGTCGCTGTGAGTCAGGGCCGACTTGACGGCACATAACAACAACAACAACATGGGGGAAAAGATGGTTGACTTACGCTTCAAGTTCCAAGAAGCATTCTCTGGTTCATACATATCATGTGTGATGAACATTTTGTGTAATTCTGGTATTATTCCATCAGGAACCATACGTGGGCTTCCTTGGTAAAAATGAAGGACTTGCCTGTTACCTGAAATAGCTTTATAAATACTTCTTTTGTTGGACTGACTTTGATTATAAGTCTGCAAAAACAAATATAAAATATCAAATTATATTATTTCTATGACAATCATTAGCCATAACAAACAATTACTTTATTAGTTTTGGTTTCTTCTAAACATAACCTTAAATGTTGAGCTACTTAAATACTTCGAAAATAGAATTTCTGATATACTAAATTTTAAAACATATCAGTAAGCCCAAGACCTCTGGTGGCACAGTGTCTAAGGCATTTGACTGCTAAGCAGAAGGCTGGCGGTTCAAACCCACCAGCCACTCCTCAGAAAAAAGACTGGGCAATCTCCTTCCATAGAGATATGCCTCAGAAACCAAAGGAGGGGTCACTATGAGTTGGATTCGACTCAATGGCAGTGAGTTTGGTTTGGTTTTGGTTTATCAGTAAGCCCATTTGATGAACTCTAAGTGAAAATCATTTTAAAATCCATTATTCAAAAGCCACCTTAGTAACTATGTTGTACAAAGGAAATCTATTTATTTAATATCTTATTTTTGAATGAAGTTGATATTTGCATGAAAGTATAAGTTGCTTTTTTTTTATTGTTGTTGTTGTTATTGTTGTTAATTAATTCCCTTATTGCAGCTTATTATTTCATCTCTGTGCACTTCAGTTTTCCTAAAAAGTATTAGGGAAAAATAATTTATTTTTCAGGATGATTTTAAAAGATATATAAAAATACTAAGTAAATTTGTTAAAAACATCATAGCGAATGATAAGGACTTTAACATGAAACTATATATTTGTCCACTGAACCAGTCCCACTGAATTACAAAAGTTTAGTTCATACTTTGGTATTATAAATATAATTCAAGTCTCCTACCATTTGGAATAAGTATCAGCAAACATTTATTCATCCTTTAAACGGTTTTAATCTTTTAAAATATAAAAACCATTGTTAGCTCACAACAGTTTTAAAAAAGCAACAAACAGAAAAACAGGTTTTAGAATCACAAGGAAATAATAAAACAAAGTAATTGTATTACTCTTTGTCCTTAGGTGCCTTTGAATTAATACCAAAGTACTAAGATGTGTTTCTTGATATGGATAAAAATTGTGAAACTGAATCTGGACAAAAATTCCCTTAATTACAAGAACAGTTAGGTCCTAGAAGGTCTAGGGTCTTCCCACAGGAACTTCAGCCTACATCACCCCAAGACCAGAAGAACTAGATGGTACCTGGCTACTAATGCCAAACATTCAGAAAGGGACCAAAATTGGAGATCCTGGATACAGTGGGAGAAAACATGTAGAACAAAATTCAAAAGCTGAAAAATGACCAGAATTCCTGGTCAGATAGAACCTGGTGAAACCCCCAGACTACAGCCTCAGGTTACCCTTCAGGCCTGAAACTGGACTCACTCCTGTGGGTTAGCTCTCAGACAAACAATACAAAGCCCTATAAGCTGAAAACCTACCCCAGAGAGATGCACCCCTTAAAAGAGTCAATTGTTAGAGATTGGAAGGGCAGCATTTACAGAGGGGGAAAGCTAAACAGACAGGAATACACAGGTAAGAAGGACACAGGGAAGGAGTACCACAGGGAGGAGAGTTGTTCCTCTATGGGGATTACAATCGGTACCATTAAACAAAACGGGTATGAACTAACTGTTGAGTGGAAAACAATTCTGCTTTGTAAATTAGCACCCAAATCACAATAAAAACATTTTTAAAAGAAAATATCTAGAGTCTTAAAAGTTTGTGAACAGTCAGCTAAGGTGCAACTATTGGTCTCTCCCCATCCAGAGCAAAGAAGAGGGAAGATAATCAAAGGTGCATAAAAATAATTAGTTCAAGAACTAATAGACCATGTCAAACCCAGCATCAATTACCCTAAGACCAGAAAAACTAGATGATGCCCAACCACCACTGCCAACCATTCTGAATGCAATCACAGTAAGAGGTGGTCCTGGGCAGAACAGGAGTAAAATGTGGAACAAAACTCAAAAAGACCAGGCATACTAGTCTGATAAAGACTGGTGGAACCCGAGACGATGGCCCTTAGACACTCTTCAAGCTGGAGTTGATCACACTCCTGTGGTACAACTTTCAACCACGCAACAGAAAGGCCTGTAAGGTAAACAATAATACCAGGGAGGTATGCATTCCTTAGAACAGTCAAGCATATGAGATCTAAAGAGCAGCATTTTCCCAATGATAAAGTTCAGAAGGTAGGAAGGGACAGGAAAGCAGGAAATGTTAAACAAAGGAAGGAAATGGGAAAAGTGCTGCTCCATCAAGGGGATTAAAATCAGTATCAAAAACAAAATACAGAGGAATTATTGAATGGGAAACCAATTTGCTTTGCAAACTTTCACCTAAATCACAATCTAAAGTTATACACACACACACACACAAAGATAGTTAGAATCCAGTAGAAAGGGGGAAAAAATCAACAATTATCTAACAAATTATTTGGATTTTGAATGCTAAAATGAAAGGTTAATATTTGTCTTCTGGTCATATTTCTCAAACGTCAAGTATCAAATCATATTTCTACAAGTCTACTTACACGTTCTTCTCGTCCTTCAGCAAGGATAACAACAATCCTGCCTTGACGTTTGCGGCCAGTTCTACCCATTCGTTGTACAAGACGAATTGGGCTTTTCTGGGCATCAAAACATATTATAAGATCAACTTCCCCTATATCCAAGCCTTCTTCACCAACACAAGTAGAAACCAATGTGTTATAACCACCATCACGAAATTGTTTCACTACCTAAAATAAAAATGATTTAAAATTAACTGACTGCAATTTTAGGAATTATATATCAAAGCATTTTTTTTCCACTCTCCCCAAAATGATGAAATCAGATTGAAAACCAGCATACCACTGAATAGGAAAAGAGGCCACAAAATGGCAATATAAACCAAGAAGAATTATGAGAAAACGGAAAGGGCAATCCTAATTTCTTTGAGTAAATAACAATTATTATGCCAAAAGGATTTGCTAACAATTTACATATGAATGAGAAACCCTAGGCGTTTTATTTTGTTTTTTTAACACCAGCTGAAAGAAGGGGCAAAGGGCAGATTAATAACCTAGGGTAATTATTTCCATTTATTATAACCGAGGCCTAAAAGTACAGTTACGTGTATCTAAAATAAGGATCTTTTATTACTCCTAGAGTTTTTATCTTACCTTTTATACTGTCATTCCAGGATTTCTCTCTGATCAGTTTAATGAAACTACAATAGCATGAGAATGAGTTAAAGAAAAAGTCAATGATGTATCTTGAAAAATTTCCTAAAGTCTTATAAAATTAGTTCTCAACTGCTCTGAGCCTCAGTTTCCATATATACCAACACCGACCTTGCAAGTTTATATATGGCAGAGTGGTAGTGGTCAAAATTAAATGAGGTAATGTCAACAGATAGATAAAAAATAGCAAAAATTAAAAGATGGTATTCCAGAGGTATCAGTTATGCCTTCATCTAATGTTTTCATGAATACTTATTAAGATAAAAGAATGCTTGAACAAAATAATTAGTATGAAGGACAGTTATCAAACTTACTGTACAAAAGGTAAACATTAGAAGAAAATGTTAGGGGAGTATACACAAAAAAGAAATATGAACTCTATCAAATTATAAAAGATATTATGGACCTGTCACAAAAGATCATAAGGGCCCTTCAAATTCAAACATCCTACTCCTCTGTAAGTATTGAGAGTGAAAAATTGAGCCAAAATTATTTAAACGGAGGAAGAGTTGAAATGGCTTATAATAATAATGATAACTACTATGTATGAGAACATGCTATGGTACCATATTAAATACTTTATATATTAGTTACTATTCCCAATAACTTATGAGGTAAATACTACCACCACAATTCATTAGATAAAGAAACTGAGGATCTGAGAAGTTAAGCTATCTACCTATATTCTAACTAATAATTTTCAGCATGTGAATTTAGGACTGATTCCAAAAATGCATAATCTTAATGCTTAAACTAGTTCTATTGTTCTAAATAATAACCTTAAACACAGGATAATAAATATAAACTTATCTCATAAAATATAAATGTTTATCATATAAAATGCTGCCAGTAGCACTTGTCAAAGGATTTTCCTTTAATATGGTAAACTTTAGAGAACAGAGAGAACCAATGATCATGATTAAAACTTAAAAATAATTCATTTCCTTTTGGAATCTGTAATGACATTAAGCCAAGGAAAGAATGACCTAACATTACCTGTATGTAGCTTAATAAAACAGATGTCCTTTTTTGCCCAGATCAAGAAAAAAAATGGGCCACGATGCTAGAGATGTAAAAAAACATGAATGTCAAACAATTTCCTTTTTAGTTAACATGCATAAACTAAACTGTTACTTATTTGCCCAAGACTGATATAAATCTATTTAGAGTTTGGACAACAAATATGAACCAGAAGTTATTTATTTAATCTCTTACTCCTTTTTCTGATACATTAACTGGATAGTCAAGTCTAAATATTTTTTAGAATAATTTCTTCACTACTAAATCCTTGGTTTTATGTTGTTTGTAAAGCTATATAAAAAATTCTTTAAATAAATTGATATTTTATTCTTCCCAGTAAAACATGCATGCAAGTAACATGGGTATACACTTGTGAAGCAGACAACTGTTACCTGCTAACAATTAGCATTGACAAAATCCTTATTTTCTAGCAACAAAGCTAGAAAATGAAAGATGGCATTCCATAGTAATCAGTCATGCTTTTGACTAATGCCTTTAAAAATGCCTATTAAAACAAAAGAATCCCTGAGCAATATACCAAGTATGAAGGTAGCCATGGTAGTTAATTTTCTAATCTATTATTTTCCATAATACAAGATTTTATAACTATTACAGTGAATATTTAAGAGAAGGAAGGAAGAAAAAGGAATAAAAAGGAAAACAGAGATTCACTGTTCTAAGTCACAGAGTTAACTGAGTTAGAGAAACAACAACCAATATATACAAACCACTGCCTTCTTGACATCTCCTCTGAAACTTAATATATACGGTATTCAATCAACACCACCAAACTGGTCCTGATTCTATGTTTCCAATATCCATGAAAAGCACCACTATCGTTCTAGTTTGGCAGGCTGGAAACCCTAGGAGTCATCCTTGATAACTTCTTCTTCCTCACAACTTCATATATAATCAGTTACCAAGTCTTGTTAAACATCTCTCAAATTCCTCCTCTTTTAACCATTTCCACAACACCAAGCAATTTTCAGACCTTGTCTAGACTACTTTGATAGCCTATCAACAGGTCAGAGTCAGGGTCAGGCACACGGTTAGAGACCAAGAATTCTGAGTAATCCAGGAAACACCCTTAATTCTGTGGTAGTTAAGGTTGTATGTCACCTTGGCTGGGCGTGGATGAATGACGCGGCTGGATGCAGTTATTCCTCACACTGAGACAGGTAATCAATTCCATGGTGGACTCGCTGCTTTATCCATGTGCTCCGCTTCCAGTATACAAGCAGCAGCTTTGAGGAAGGCCTCCAGCTCTGTGGTACACTTGAACCCTGCATGCAGCCAAGTCATTGTTCAGCAGCCTGCCATGCCCTGCTGATCTTGGCACTTTTTCTGGACTTGAATTAATGGCCTGCCATGTTGTTTGGTAATATCAAGATTGTGCCTTTTTTACTTGTCAAGCTTGGGTTTGTCAGTCTCAGCAGCCAGCAGCTGCCTGAGTGAAGAAAAGCCCCCAGCTTCAGTGGGCCGGAAACAGGAGGCAGAGCTGAAGCCCAAGGTTAAGGGGTTTTCACCCAGCCACTAGAGCTGGGCGGGCACTTTGAACTTAGACTTCTGGCCTCCAAAATTGTGAGAATAAACTTCTGCTTGGTCAAGCCACCCATTTGTGGTTATTTTTTCTGTTAAAGTGTCCTCATTATGTCTATTCTTTAGTTGTAACAGTCACTACAAGCAGCCTAAAACTCCAGATCATCCCTCATCTCCCAGACTCTTAATCCCTATACAGCTCTACATATCTCCATTACTGACCTCACTGCCACCTCACCTAGAATACTTCTATCCTGGTGCTTTAAGTGAAACTTGATCCCCACAAGGACACAGCTTTCCCTATAGTGGTGGTTTCTTTCTCTTTCATAACTCATACTGTTGGGCCTGAGGTAAGCAGGTTTCCTCCCTGCTTCTCCTGCCACTTTCAAATTCTCCTCCCTAACTCTTCCCCAACAGTTTTCAACTTAGATCTAATATCAGACTGTACCACTCTCTATGCCTATGGCTGTCATCATCTACTGATCCAAGTCATTCTCCCTCATTCCTAGAACAGTTTAGTTCCTACCCTGCTTTGATTCTTTCCAACACTAATTCTGTCAGGCTTCTTGCTGATCTCAGTGTCCATTTTTTCCTGGCCTTAGAGTTTCTAATCTTTTTTCTACAATAAAGTAACAGTTATTTCCTAATCACTCCCAGGATCATATCCTAGACTTCATCATTAATAACCATTATGCCTTCATAATCTCAATTTTAAGCATTGCAGTCTCCTACACTAACCTCCTATTTTTACAGCCTTCTAGTACCTGAATTCTGGCAATTATTTGATCCTATCAGGACTTACAATGTACTCATCCCATACCATATTTTCATTGCTTACCCTTTACCCTATCTTAAATTCCACTTCCCTGCATACAACTTCAATACCCTAGCTACTCTCTCACTTCATGTTCCCCAGGCCAAACTCTAACATTGCTCATACATAACACTAAATAGACAAGAAACTTGTTTACAGAATGAGAGCTAAAACAAGAAGGCAGGACATCACTTTACATGACTTCACCATGTATAATGTGCATATCAGGCAACTCAAAGTTTTTACTAGTCTGCAGATATACTCAAATATACCACAACTATTGATAAATTTTACAAGTAGGGAAAATTACAAATACAAAATCTGTGAATAATGAGTACTGACTATACATCCCACTTTATTCAACATGTCTGCTTCATGTTTAAAATAATGCTACTCAACTATTTACAATAGCCAAAACTTGGAAACAACCTAGATGTCCAACAACTGAGGAATGGATAACCAAACTTTGGTACATTCACACAA